ATATATATATATATATATATATATATATATATATATATATATATATATATATACACAAATGAACCACTAGGCTTGATGCCTCATGGTGAATATATAAATAATAATCCAAAATAGGAATCCAGTTATTACAAAATTGTAAAGAGTGTAGAAAAGGTACGAAAGCTAGAAAATTCTAACTATTACAAATGCGAAATACTGGACATATTTCAGATTTAGGTGATTTTTGTCTCCTCTATTCAATTGCATAACCTCCACGTAGCACCTCCCGAGCTCTCACCTGGCGCCATGTTTTGTGATTGAACTGTGAGTGTCCAAGTATCACCAATTAGATCCTGGTCTGTCAAAATACACAATGTTGATTGCATTTATCTCGAGGATTGTAGTCCCGACTGTCTGTATGTGGAGTATGCATAGGTGTTCTTCTCCTTTCACCATAAGATCACCCCCAGATTGAGCATGAGAGCATGCTAATACCACTGGGAGGCACTCTAACAGTGTTTAGATAATCTGCCTTAGACATGCATCAGAATTTCATTTCGAAGCCCTCTGAAAATCAGTAACGTACTTGGGACATTTGCATTTCTGCACTCATTGTTTGGTTGTATGTGAACTATTCCAACTCTTGCTACTATATGATTCTCCTTATACCATAAGACCACCCCCAGATTAAGCATGATATCATGCTAATACCACTGGGAAGCAGCCTATAAGTTTTCAGAAAATCAACCACAGTAGCCTAACACTCTCTATAGTCAGTGACATTTAGCTTTTTTCTGTTACGTTTGCTAACAGTGATGTATAAGCTCCAGTTATTGACTGCTCCAGCATGAATAGAGATACCAATAGCTGGCCAAATCAATGGCATTAATGTAGGTTTTTTTCCTTTGTATCGACTGGCAGTACCATTACTACAGCTGCGAGATTACTGTACAGTAATTCCATGTTTGCGATAGCATTGAAACATTTGTAATTGTCTAAATCAAGTACCTGCAAAATTTAATAAACAGATTAGTGGTAAAAGAGTTCTGGATTCAGTGGTGTCATGTGTGGCCTGATTCCGATTCTGTTATGGCTTTTAGGGTAGTCTATTTCCAGTTTCATGTTTGCACTATGACATAATACCCGGATGGATTGAATTACAGAAACCCATTTGAAGCTACCTCGGCCATGACTTTGTGATATCTTCTTGGAACCGATTGTTGTTTGCATAACTCGATACAGACGAGTATCTTTTAGAACTTATGCAGGCCTTTGTTGCGTTAGCTGTGGTCTTCTCCAGTCAGTACAACACCCTTGTAACCAAGATGGAAGAATGTGCATTGTTTCCTCTGTTTACAATAGCATTGAACTCGTGTTTGGTTATCTATTGATCATCAGAAAATTTCCATTTTGTGCACTGGTATGTATTCTTCCATCTGATAAAATCAGTGTCACCAGAAGCCTCCCAGTGTTGTAACAGCAATATTTGCACGTCAATATGGGAAGTTTCCTTTCGCAATTTTAACCCTTAGATTTGGTATTTGTGACTTGTCCATGTTTATTAATCTCCTCCCTGCTGTGGCAAGTTCTGTGAAAGAGTGAAAATGAGTTGTTCCTGCAAATGAAAAGGCAATGTTAGCTATATAATCTGCTAAAGTGTTTCCTTCTCTGTAAACATGTTGAAAGATCACATTGAAATGATCCCTCAACGCCTGAATCTTCTGCACTTCTGCCCTTATACACCAAGGTGGGTCCCATTCCCTTTCAATAATCTTCTTCAACAACAAGCAATCTGTCTATATCAATGTTGCATACAAGCAAATCTTATTTCCTCACTTCTGGTGGTAAATTGCATATCCGTTATCCCTATTGTCAGTGTATCTGAAACTTCTATTACGCCTGTAGTTTCAACTGCCTTTATCCAGTAGGTTTTTGTACCACAATGTATAGTTGCAAATCTGATCCATATGCAGAAGGTAATAATATAGTTCCTGAGTTACTAGTTGCAGCTCTTCTCATTGCTAAATAAACTAGTAATAGTAATCTAATGACAATGATGAGATATCTTAAGTTTGCCGTTATTTGTTACTTTTAGTGTAAACAGGATCTTACGTGTAGAGCAACAATCTGGATAACTTAAAGGTTTTCCATGTTATTATTAATTTACTACGCTGCAAAATAAAATTAGTTGAAGTGAGCTATACGATTTTCTCTGCATTCAGTATATTCTGTTCAAGTTAGAGATCATCAAATTGAAACTATCTTCAGTAGGAAAGAAGTTCTTAATGTGTAAAAGTTGTAAAAATAATGTTAGCTGCAACTTTTAGTTTCCTTTAACTTAGCATCACACAGATCCAAGTTGAGTAATAGCTGGATGTTACACTTGTAGAATATGTTTGGTTACTTGATTTTAGTTTTGATTTTTGAACTTGTAGCTTGCGGAGTTATAAAGTTATCAAAAATAACATGATGTAAGGTCATTCCCATAGTGATCACCAAATAAAAAAGTTGATCCTACTGTTGGAACTAGGTATAAACAATTAAGCTTCCAAAAAATGAGGGAGCACAACTCCCTTTTTCTTTGTCCCTTGGCCTGTTAATCCTCCATGAATTGTCGGGTTTTAATAAGTAGGAAAACTTCTAAACACTGTAAAGCATTTTCTATAAACACATGTGTGCTTGTTGGTTTCAATTGATTTTGTGATGTATTAAAGTGAGCCGTCAATACTATTGATAAACTTGCTACTTGCGCATATTTCTGTTTAACATTGATGTCAGTATGTGCAAAATTGTCATAGCAAAGCCACAAAACATCTCAATTCTCATTTTTGAAAAGAGAGCTTGTGGGTAGCCTTTCATAGTTGAAATTTATTTAGTGGGAGAAATTCTTCTCTAGTGTCTTGTAAACTGTAAGCTTAATTTGGGTAGCCTCCTGATATTTTATATGACCAAAAGGAATTATATAGTGCAGGACTGTCTGTAGCGATTTAATGAGCCTAGCTTGTTACTGCAGATCTTAGTATGTTTGCAAACATGGTCTGCCATAAAGTGAATTTCTAGAGAAAAAGCTACTTCATATTAATAATGACTCACCTCTGGTTTCTCAAATATCGATTCATCAAGGGAAAAAGAAACCATGTTGGATGGCAGATAACATCGTAATATTGCCTGCATAATTGATAGAATTAATCAGCAGGATGATTGATGAGTCACAGGTCCATATCATAGGAAAAAAGCTGCACACTAGATCCTTGCTTAGTCTAGCCAGCTCCGCATTGGGTAGCAATACCTGAACCAATTTCTCTTGCGACCAACATGGTCTTGCCTATACCTTGTGTTACTATATTGGACAACAAGAAGAAAATTGACACCTCTGGGCTTGGAGCAGAGGAGGAGAGAGGACAAGGGGAGTTCAATAATTCTCTATTACATAAGCACACAAGATGTAGCGAATTTTATTCATATTTGATAATTTCAAGTATTATACACAGGGAACGAAAAGATGGACTATCCCATATTTATTGGATTTGGTTATTTTTGCATAGATACATTCACTAAAACAAATCAAAAAAGCCTTTGAAAGATGTTTCATTTAGTAAATGGTGTAAAGGAATGCTGTAAAATTGCATGATTTCTATTATGAAGTAGGTTCTGGAATAAGTAATTGTCCGTGTTCTCTGAGTATACTCTAGTCTTAGATGTTTCATTGTTTCAACTTCTTAGTATTTTTACTGTGCATAAACTGAGGTTTTATCATGATATTATTAACAGATGAGACAATTCTTGCGCAAATATGATCCTAATGTATCTATGACTCAAAGTAACAATGGAACCTCATGTGAACAGGTAACTCTATTACATATGCTTTAGGCATTTTTAATGAAATTCTGATCAATAAAAGTATTGTTATCTAACATGTTAATATTTATTAGATCTCTGACGCCAACAGTGGACATGAACGAGTACCACAAACATCAAGGATGCCTAGTGTTGCTGAAAATGCTCAACTTTCTCACGGTACTACTCATCTTTGAGTTTTCCTCCTTCGATTTTTATTAATTTGTTGTTGTATTTGGGCTTACTTGAATGCTTCTTGCTTTCATATATTTTCTTTTCTCACTGTTGGTTTCCGTCTCAACAATGTATATCTTTTACAATTAGAAATAGTCTTCTATGTCTTCTTTAGACTATTACAATTACAAATAGTCTTCTATGGCTTCTCAACAATATTTCTATTAATTTCGTACTTTTATCTAAACAATATATATCTTTTACAATTAGAAATATTCTTCTGTGTCTTCTTTAGCCTCTTCTTTACATATTGTGCCTTCCATTACCTAATAAGCATCTTAAAGTTTGTGGCCTTGTCTAAGATACCCAAAATAAATTAAAGAATAAACTCCAGATCTTCCATGTTTGATGGCTATGCAAGCACAAATGGTCTACTAACTCTGGGGACCTACAGAAAAAGAATGTGCTATAGTAGTTGAAGCCTCTTCTCTGGGCCTATCATGAGTTAAACAACATTGTGAGCACACTGGTTCGTGGAGATGAATTGCTGCATAAAATGAAGGGATTAATTGGTTAAGAAACTTATAAGACGCACTAGGATTTAGAGGGGTATTTTCAAAAAGTGGCGTAGGGAATTCATGAAAATATAGATTTTAGCTGTGAGAGGGTCAAAACCATGGACACGAAACTTAGCCTGGCAAATATGAGTGGTTGCTCCAACATAGTATACCGTGATATTATACGAGAAGATAAGCCTATGAAGGTGGAGAAGCTAGTTGAGATGAACTTGTGCCGAAAGTGGCACCATTAGGTCAGCTACTTGTGTATCTTGAACACCATTTTGGTCATGGATTTTTGTGTGGTAGTTCTCAGCCATTGGAAGGTATAGATGTGACGATCCGGCCGGTCGTCTCATGAGTTACTGGCCCGTTCCCCCCATTTCCGCTCCTTATTGCTTTGTTCATCTGTGTTTTGGGGTATCGGGTTTGTTGGATTGGTTTCGGATTGGTTTTGGGTGAGGTTTGAGACACTTAGTCTCTTTTAAGGAAGTTTAAGTTGGAAAAATCAACCGAATGTTGATATATGTGTTATAGGGCTTGGATGTGAGTTCCGATGGTTCGGTTAGCTTTTAGGATTATGATTAGAATGGGTTTTAGAGGTTCGAATGGATTTAGGCTTGAATTGGCGAAGTTGATATTTTGGCGATTTCCGGTTGATAGGCGAGATTTTGATATAGGGGTCGGAATGGAATTCCGAGAGTTGCAGTAGCTTCGTGGTGTCATTTGGGATGTGTGTGTAAAATTTTAGGTTATTCGGACGTGTTTTGGTTAGATTTTTGATCAAATGCGTATTTCGGAATATTTTAGAAATTTAGGCTTGAATCCGATGTGTTTTGGGTGATTTGGTGTTGTTTGAGGTGTTTCGATGATTGGAACAAGTTTGAATAAGGTTTTAGGATGTGTTGGTGCTTTTGGTTGAGGTCCTGGGGGCCTCGGGGTGAATTCGAATGGTTAACGGGATGATTTGAGACTTGGGAGATTGCAGAAAATTTGCTGCTTCTGGTGTTTTCGCACCTGCGGTTTGGGGGCCGCATGTGCAAGGGAGAAGCCGCAGAAGCGGTTATGGAGGGGATTGTCAGAAATCGCAAATGCGGTTGTGGGGGCCGCATCTGCGGAACCGCAAATGCGGAAGAAGGATCGCAGATGCGGCAGTGGCCGGCTTTAGTGATTCCGCAGAAGCAGAGTGTTAACCGAAGATCCGGTATCGCAGAAGCGGGAATTGCGCCGCAGATGCGATAAGGCCTGGGCAGAATGTTTTTAATTCGTTTCATTTGCGATTTTGGGGCTCATTCCCTCCATATGTGGTCATTTTGGGAGCTTTTTGAAGGAGATTAAAGAGGGAATCAAGGGGAAACGTTTGGAGGTATGAATTTCGGACCTAAAACTCGATTTATTGTGAAATCCACCTAGAAAATCATGGAAACTTAAGCTAAAAATGGAAGAACTAGGGCTTGGAATTTTGGATTTTTAATTGAGGATTTGAAGGGTCATTTGTGGGCGGATTTTGATATTTTTGGTATGTGTGAACGCGCTACCGGACAGGATGGACGACCACCAGTGCCACCAGCCGCGGCCACCAGAGGCCGAGGACACGGTCGTGGTCGTGGTAGAGGCAGAGCAGCGAGGGAAGCACCTGCAGATCCACCAGCTGCCCCAGTTCAGGATCAGGTCCCAGCTGTGGACCCTCCAGCAGCACAAGCTTAGGCACCAGCTGTGCCTATTGTGATTTCGTGTCTTCAGGAGGCTTTGGCTCAGATCTTATCAGTTTGCACTGCCCTAGCTCAGGCGGTTTCAGCTACTACAGTCGTAACTACTTCACAGGCCGGGAGAGGCAGTCAGACTCCCGCACACCTGAGCAGGTTGTGCAGGGACTTTAGATGCCGGGGGCACATCCAGCCCAGCCGGTCATAGCTGCTCAGGACTATGTAGTCCCTGTCATGCTAGAGGATGAGCAGCGCAGGTTGGAGAGATTTGGGAGACTTCAGCCTCCGTCATTCAGCAGAGTAGAGGGCGAGGATGCCTAGGGCTTTTTAGACAAGTGTCAGAGTATGCTTCGCACAGCCAGTATTTTGGAGACCAGCGGGGTCGCTTTCACTACTTATCAGTTTTCAGGACTTGCTTTTACTTGGTGGGAGGATCTTGAGAGGCGTAGGCCTATTGGTGTAGCACCCTTGTCCTGGCAGCAGTTCTGCGTTCTCTTTCTGGAGAAGTATGTACTGTAGTCTCGTAGAGAGGAGCTGCGTAGACAGTTTGAGTGGTTGCGTTAGGGGGAGATAACCGTGTCGCAGTATGAGTTGAGGTTCTCTGAGTTGGCTCGTCATGCCATCTGGTTGGTCCCGACAGATCGAGAGAGAATCAGGAGGTTTGTCGATGGTCTTACTTATCAGCTCCGTATCCTTATGACCAGGGAGAGCATGACTGGTGCAACATTCGAGGAGGTTGTGGATATTGCTAGGGAGATTGAGTCTGTCCGTTGCCAGGAGCGAGAGGAGAGGGAGGCCAAGAGGCCTC